CTCCCATACGGCCCTCACGAATTAAAATCATGCCTGACCGAGTGGCAACGGTCTCCTAATTCTTGTGTAGACAATACATTGTTCCTACTACTCTGGCCTTCCCAAGACTCCTCACCTCTACCAAGGAACCAGGCCTGGAAGATCGCAGCCGTTGAGGGTTAACCTTCTTAGCTTTAACACTGCTCGATAGGACTATGATTGACAGGTAAGCACCCTTCAGCACAATAAACTTTACGCTTGTGCCGGAAGGCCTCTGAATGATGAAAGAAAGGCAATCAGGCAGCAGATAACATGAGCATGGAGTATTCAATTGTCCACCTCCCTCACCCTGAATATACCAACTCTGCCAGTATGTCCGCCACGTTATACCAATGAGGCGAGGTAGATAATTCAAACATTGTTAACGATTAGGCCCTTTGGGAAAGAATAATGGTTATCGTGTGCAATTTCGAGTCTGGTGCCCCAGTTTGACGTCAGAAATGTAGGCTGACTACATGAGTTTACTGAACCAGTCTTCCAGCAAGTACGCTCCGGTAAGAAACTCACGCCATCTAACCGTCAAAAATATGTCATGGGGCGATAGAATGCGTGGTTGCTAAATAAATTGTAGCTCTAACTATTCATGCAGGAGAACCTATTCGACCAGAGTTTGAAGATTTAAGGAGCAACTAGTCGTAGGAGCAAATCTTTCCTGTGGTCGAAGAAAGTTTACACCGCATGTGGTGTGCGATGCGGCTCCCAAACAGTCACGCAGTGCTCAGGGAGAATGCACATGAAAATTAGCCCAGAGAAGCCGGAGTAAGGGGTCGTCAATTGACAAGAATTTTATTCGTCTGACGTTTTTAAGTCCGTCGCAGATCCGTCATCAGAGAAAACAGACGAAATGGGTAACTTATACACAGGGAGTTGCAGTATTTAAGGGACAGTCAGTATGCTACGGCATACTTTTGACAAGTAACGGCTTCCCTGTCAGGGATAATTGACCGCTTGTGCGCTAATTGCTCGATGTCGACCTGCTGAACTTCCATCACACGAGGTGGACTTGGTCGTGATAATTGACTGACGATGATGATGACAGTTTTTAACGAGGGTTGCAATCCAATTTTTTTAAACGCTTAATTTGCATCTGGATCCTCAAATTAAGACAGTTTGGTAGAAAGGTAGGCATTGAGGTCATAGTTTTCGAACGAATTACCGTATCTGGAAAGAGGCTAATCAATACTTCGGAACCCTACATGTGAGCAAGTACGCACACAGTTGGTTTAATGGCATCAAGTTTTCGCTTGTTAGTTTCATCACAAGATACGGACGCGAATGGCGAGCATGCAGCGGTGGTGAGGAAGAGAGACGCCAACTCCCCGGTTGCAGCTCACTCGACGGGACCCGGCCATATTTTTAAGTTTAACAAGGCTGAAATCCTCGCAAGAAGTGAAAACCGCGTGAGCCGCGAGCTGCTCGAGTCATGGTTCTCAGACCCCCAGCGCAACGATTTGGCTTTTCGATATTGCGTACTGAGACATTGCCTGAGCAAGAGAATCAGTCATGTGGGAAGGGCCGGGCCCAGCAACAACAACTCTGACGACTACGAGCATAATTGTCGCGCAATTACTAAGCCCGCATCCAACACGGACAAGGAAATCGCGGTAATTGATGTGTCGAAGGCGGAGTGTTAAGGTAGCGCCGCACCAATTAAGACCCAAGCGGTGGCTGCAGGAGTGGATAATTACAGTACGCATACAGATGACCGCTATGAACTACAAATACCGTGGAAACTGTGTACACATGACTCAGACAATGCTACCATTACCTATGTTTAAGGATTCCCGACGAGAATTTGTCGAAAGTACACGTATACTCGCCAAACTGGACTTCTGAATTCTCTGATGGGAATTTTCGCAACTCTAAAAGAATCCGAAACGTCAGGAAAATAAAGCTCTTGCTCCAGTGATCGCGTCTTCTTCTTCTGAACTGCTCCCCGGAACCCGCATATTTACATAGATTGACATAATACACTACTGATAAAAAACATAGGACGAGATAAGTATGGCAGAATAACAAAAAAAGTAGTCCGACCTCTGCAGCCGTAGGTAGTTTGGGCCGATGAACTGTTTGGCTACTTGAGGCATCAACCATCCCGTAGCGCTCCATAGTCGCCAGCCTTTCTTCTGGAGTCATGCGAGGCAGATCGACGTCACTACGATTATCGTCCAATGGAGGTGACATGGACTTCTGACTGACCGGTTCGCCAGCGAGGATCCGGTCAGCAGCTGAATTTACGTCCCCCGCGGTCGCCCTGAGATGGGTGGCCAGTTCACTGCGGCACATCTATGTACAGTATGACAGAGAAAATAGTTCAGGCAACAATGATATTCGAATAAAAACGTATCCTGGTTAGACGCTTCTGAAGGTTCGCGGATTCATATTCATTTTCTGCTGCAGCTGCCATTGTAGTGAATAGCTCCACACGAAGCGCACTCGTGGACGCTTGTAGTGACCAGTTCCAGTCGAACGCACACTTGTGAACGCTTGTCATTTCCGGCCTCTGGAGCAGCCAATCACAGGCCGACTCACACAGAACCTCGTGTGACGACTGCCGAGCAGACATCATTTCAGACGCCGTCCGTTGGGTTGTGGTTGTGCGGTCTTCTGACAGTCAATTTCATACTGCCTATTCACCATTCCTTCTGTACAGAAGAAACTGTTTCTTCCACTGAGGCCTCCCATGACTTCTATTCTCATAAGGAAAGGGACCTGAAGATCACAGTTGCTAAGCCTTCACTTACTTAACCCCCTGCGGTACCATAAACAAACCAGATTTTTGTAATATGTAAAGGGCAAAAGTGCATGGCCTGCCGAAGGATAAAAACTTCGAAATGGAAGTGGGCGCCCATGCAAGCCTAATGCGGAAATTGAATTTATGACCCAACATTAACAACTGCCGAGGCTTGATAAGTACTACAGTAGTCACCGACTATTAAGCCCACCTCGGGCCCAGACCAAATTGGG